TTTATGGCTGATCCCAATTAATTTAGTATCTCAATGAGATTTGAAAATTTTTACAAGGCCACACCACAGATGAAAGCATTTGAATGATGTAAGAACAATTCAGAAATCACAAACTTGAACAGTGCAAGTTCCATTCTGGGAGCTCAAGTTTTACCTTAGAATTTTTATCTTAGCTCAAATTTTGTCTTAGTAAATTTGTAGATATGCTGATGAGATTCTAAGATTTACAAGGCTACAGGAGAAAGCATTTAAATCATATACTATGATTGAAAGAATCAATTTCCATGCAGCCTAAGCAGATAAAATTTAAGATTCCTTAATTTGTCAGCCACAGTATAGACAACAAGATTAGCTTAACATCATTATTAAGATTTAAGAAAAAATGAATTACCTTAACAGTGTCAACCATTTCCTTTGAAGCAATTGCATGTCAAACTCTAAAATAAGAATAAATAAAAGTGCAATTCCTTGGTGGTTGTTGGATAAAGGAGAGAAAGCTAGCTAAAATATCTTTCATCCCCCAATTAATAAAATTCAGTCACCAAAAGTCTCTGCAGGAACACAAACCATTATTGAAATGGTGGAACCGATTAATATCCCTCACAATGATCTCTCTTTTGAAAATTTCAGAAGCTAGCTTCATGACTGTGTGACAGTCACCACAAGTCCTCAAATTCTTTTTAATCCTAATTGGTGCTCCAGTTGGAAGGGCCAGCAGCCCAAATGCAAGCGCAAGTTTCTCACTGTGATACCACAAGTTCTGCTCCCTGTAAGCTTCTGCACTATTAACTGCAAATTGTGTTTGAGGCACATATCCTTTCTTCTTCACCAATTCTTCCAACTGTCTCAGCATCACATAAATCTCATCTGTCCTAGAATGTGATCTATCATGCACGGTAAACACAAAAGTCTTCTGTTTGACGTCAATCCAGCTACACCCAGGCTCCTTTCTGATTGTATTGATGCCCATCAATCTTCGAACTTCATCAGCTTCTTTTAGTTTTCCCCTACGTGCATACATGTTAGAAAGCAACACATAATTGCCAGGATTATCTGGCTCCAACTCAAAAAGCCTCTCTGCAACTTCTCTGCCCAGTTCAAGATTACCATAATTTGCACAAGCACCAAGCAGAGCTCCCCAAACTGATGCGTCAGGCTTAATTGGCATTGATTTTATAAACTTCAGAGCTTCATCAAGTCGACCTGCACGAGCAAGGAGGTCAACCATGCAAGCATAGTGTTCATGCCTGGAGCTCAAGCCATGCACCTTTGTTATAGAATTGAAGTAAGCATATCCCTCTTCAATGCGTCCAGTATGGCTACATGCTGATATAACACAAACAAGAGAAATGTAATCAGGTTTTATCCCATCTTTAAGCATTTCCTCAAACAATTCAATGGCTTGGTTTCCACGGCCATGTTGTTGGCAAGCAGCAATCATTGCTGTCCAACAAACGATATTATGATTCTCAGTCTGTTCAAAGACATGATAAGCATCATCCAGGCATCCGCACTTTGCGTACATTGTAACCAATGAACTAACAACACATGCATTATTAGAAAACCCCATCTTTATTATTTGGCCATGAACCAAAGTGCCTTGATTTAGCGCAGCAAGATTTGCAGAAGCATGAAGGACAGAAGAGTATGAAGCCTCATCAGGCGATATACCTTCACTCCTCATGACCCAAAAACAATTGCAAGCTTCTTCAAAGTTGTTATTATAGACACAACCCATAACCATAACATTCCATGCAACAACATCTCTGGTCCCTTGTGCATTAAACAACCTATGACCATCATCAAAGCAGCCACATTTGAAGTACAAGTCCATAAGCGAATTCTTAACATAAGGCAAAGTCTCCAAATCGTGCTTAACAACCAATGCATGCACTTGTTTCCCAAATCCCAATTCACCCATATTGGCACAAGCGCTTAAGACGCTTGAAATACTAACCTGATTAGCACCAAACAAGTCCTCCCTGATAACCTCCCTAAAACACACAACTGCCTTATGATACAACTGATTGGACAAACAACCAACTATCATAGAATTCCAAGAAACAAGGTTTCTTTCAGGCATTTGGACAAACACCTTCTCTGCTAAGTCCAAAAACCCACACTTGGCATACATATCAAGCAATGCAGTACCAACAAAAACATCTGTGTCACACCCATGTTTACAAATCAAGCAATGCATCTGTTGACCGTGAAAAATGACGGCTGTATCCGCACAGGCGGGTAAAATCGCGGAGAAAGTGAAGTGATTTGGGAAAATACCGGCGGCCCTCATTTGGGTAAAGAAAGACAGGGCCTGAAAGGGTTTGTTGAAATGGGTATGTTGGGAGATGAGGGAGGTCCAAGTGAAGACGTTCTTAGTGGATTGATGAGCAGCGGAGAAGAGAACTAAGGAGGTGGCAATGCGACCACATTTGGCGTAGTGGTTGAGGAGAGCGTTGACGAGGAAGGGGAGGGAAGTGTAGCCGTTAACGATGATATGGGTATGGATTTGGGTAACATGTTTGAGGGATTGGGAGTGGTAGACGGTGTTGAGGAGATTGCTGAGGAAGGTGGGTGTTGTGGCGAAACCAAATTTTTCTGATTTTGGAAGGAGGGAAAGTTTCATTATATAATTTACAAACAGGGTACAGGAGGGTAAGGAAGATGGAACTGGGGAATGGGGGGGAAATTACAACGGTGAGGACTCGTTTGCAAGTTTTCAGTGGTTTAGGGCCTGATTGAACCGCTATAAAAGGGTAAAGACTGTTAGGGTATTTGGATTATCTTTTTTTTTAAAAAAAAATACATGATAGGTGATAATTAATAATTATTGATATTTATAATTTAAAATATTTAACCTTTTTAATTGGAGAATAATAATAAATAAAATTAAAATTTAAAACTAATAAAGTGAGAT